ACCCTATAGCTGACATGTTAAAGCAGTAATTCCCAGCCTGTTGTTCATGGACCACCAGTGGTCCACAAGAACTAAAATATGGTCCTTGGCCTCACCGTTATTACACCGTTGAAACAAGAGCAACTGGTCTTGCAAAACCCTCTTATAGTGCCGAAGTTTATTAAATATGGTTTTATTTGTGCAAGCAGATGGCGACTACTGGGTGGCATATGTTCTGTATTGGAAACTAGAGCTGATGTGATCTATCCAATGCAATGTTCTGAATCAGCACCCCAAATAGCTAAACCGAATCTAAAGTTGACCAAAAACTGATTCGGAACCCTTTCAGTACTAATGTTGAAGAGTGGTCCCTGGTCAAAGTGGTTCCTGGTCAAGTGGACCCTGGTAAAAAAAAAAAAAGGTTGGGAACCACTCTGTTAACAGAACTACTGTTGGCAAAGGTGGATTAGCATCAGGATGAAATTGTTTCCATACAGATGTAGTTTGAATTCCATATGTGACATGTCAATGTTGCAAGAAGTGATATGTTCTACAGATAACAAAAACACTATTGGTGCCAGTTCAATACTAACACCTGTTCATAAAAGACTCTCGGGCTGGAGACTGTTTGATGAGACCTCAGATAGTCACCCAAGGTTGCAGTACACATCATTGGGCTGGATGGATCTACTATTAAATACTTCTGTGCTCCCTCAAACTTCTGGGAAAATAAAATATTGATTGGATGAAGATTATCTAATCACATTTCAACCATGAAAGAGGTAATGAGATTAAGGGTGTGTGCAAGCAAAGCAGCGGAAGCCCTGACTTCTTCGGGCTCTCACTGTTGCTCTTGGGCAGCTCACTGTCTGCATGGTATGTGAACAATGCAATGCTAGGAAGCATGCCCCATTTCCTCAGTAGTTTCTTCGCCAATCTTGCCTCGCCTTCCATGGCAAGACACAAAGTGATACTTAACATTCCCCATTAAGATGATCATGCCTGTCTTCTGTTGAAGTCAAGATGGGCCACACCTAGACAAGGAGAAGTTTCAAGGTGTGAACCCTGAGTTCAAAGTCACCCTTATCCATAAAGGCCACTGCTTGGTGGTTCAAAACTTTCTTAGTCCTGCCTGCCACATGGTGCTGCTAAAGCATGAAATGAGATGGTGTTTAGATTATCTGATAAAACCCACCTTTGTCTGAGATAAGATGGGTAGCCATGCAAAAATGACTTGTGGGCTGTGGAATGAAAGTCCTCCCAAAGAAAGATGACACTAAAATGACAGTCTTTTTTTTTTTTTGCAATGTTTCAGCAGAAATTTTATCAGTTTAAAATAAAAAAATATCACTCCATTTAGATATAGCCACAGCATTTTTTTTCCCTAAATCCATTTTACATGTATCAATATAGAACTAAAACTCAGTTCATTTACTCCTTGAACCTTCTAATCTGCATGCACTTTAGTCGGAACTAATCTTTTCACACCCTTTAAAAGGTTGCTTTGAATAATGTAGTTTCATCTGCATGGGTTGAAATGATACAATGTTATTTTCATTGTTTCTGGGCATTTTATATATGATTTTGACACATTATTTTTAAGTTTTAGCTACAATAATGTGACCCGATACAGGAGAAGGCCCACGTGGATGACCCCCAAGGGCACTACTAACATTTTTGTGTTTGAGATGCCAGACAAAAAAAATTCTTCTTGTTCATGCAGAACCTATAATGAAGAGAGATGCAGATCAACTTTCCTTCCTTCTAGTTAGGAAACAGCTAACAAAACCACTGGTCTAAATGTGATGTTAGTCCCAACTAGAACAGACCTATTTAAATCAGTGTGACTTACACAAATAGTTACTAGCCAGTCCTATTCATTTCAACTGGCTGCTCTTCGTCATAGTCTAATGCTCCACACTGGCTTTCTAAGTCCACTATGAATGGGTAAAGGTGTGAATTGTCCCATTTTGTTTAATCTCCAGATAATTTTCATGATTTACTAATGACTTGAACAGATTTGAAAATGTTCACTATTCTCTCTTCACACAATGACAGGCTGAGGTACAGCATTTTCCTGCCTTTTCCTCATTGTCATTTTTATTTAAATGTTAATCTTAGAAATAATCTAAAATTATTTCTAATTGAATTTCACAAAGGGAAAGCTTTGTTAAACATGATCACAGCTATACTCACAAAGTTTATCTCTAAATATGTCAGTACAGTTTCATTATTCGGGCAAAGACCAAAATACCTCCTTCAACTCCCCCCCCCCCATAAAATGGAGTATTATCTTTCTAGCTCCCCCTTTTGGCCTTTGCTTGGATAATGGAACAGTATCAATATGTCTACTCACAAGGCAATCCCACGTTGAAGAGATGAAATATATTGTTTTCCCATGTTCAGTGAAACTGGGTACATTTATTTACTAAAATTATCCCTGCACCAATGGGAAAAACCATAAATTCCTTGGTATGATGTTATGAAGTAGTTTATTGACCCTACAAAATGAAGCCCATTTGCCAGAAGAAAAGCCCACTGAGTCCAATAGGATGTAACTCCTAAATAAACCAAGTGATTCAGAACAAAACAATAAACCCAGAGAGTAGAACCAATTGTTCACAAAGTTGGGGAAAGACAGGCTACCTTGTGCTCAAGAAGGTGGACTTAGATGGCAGTCTCTGGGTTTACTTTTTTAATTACAGTTTTATTGATTTCATTCATAACACAATTGATCAAAGAGGGGAAGATCAGGCAACGCACTGATCTGGCCTGGTCAACCATACCAAGTTTTATTCTTTGGATGTCTGGTTGGTGGTTGAGCTCTTGTGGTCATATAACTGAGTAATATTGTGGCGGCTGGCATGAGTTGAGCCTCCTTATCAGTCAGCTGAAATCTGTAATCAATTCTGTTGAACCTTTCTTCAATCAATCTCAATTCTCTCAGTTATTTCATACTAGCTAAGGATTTGTCACAATTATGTGCGCTTATGATAATGCAAAGGAACATAAGATCTATTGTAAAGGTGCCACCTTAAGAAGGGGGAGCATGTGGTCTCATGTTAAAAATTTGTTAAAAATGTAATATAATTGTCTGGTTGATACTGACATGATAAATAAATAAATAATGTGGTCTCATTTGCTAATCCAGTCAACATGCAGAAAAAAATCATTTCTCAACTCCTGCAGGATGGTTTCTGTATCCACAGGGTAACTGAAAAAGGGAGTAAGCAGGCCATATCAAGAGTGCATGTTCCAATTTACTACAGCAGTGTCAGGGAAAATTAAGAAGTGAGGTAGTAGACCTCATTTAGACCTGCCAAAGATAAAATCTCTTGAAATTTTGCCCTGCATTCCCAGGATTCTCTGGTTTGTCTGCTGTCCTTGTTGGGTCTAACATAGCAAGCTGCACTTGAAGTGCAACCTTCCGGGATCATTCAGAATATAACTGGAAGCCTGCCCTTTGTCAGCATTTGGGAGCAATAGTTAGATGTTAATGATACATATGTGCAACCTGACCCCTAAGACATACCACCCATACAGTTCAGGGCTGGGAACCATATATCTCTCCAAATATTGCTGAATCACAATCTTTAACAGCCTATCCAGAAAAAAAACAGTGATGAGAAATGCTGGGACTTAAAATCCAACAATTTCAGGAGGGCTTTAAAAATTTCCACCTTTTATAAAAAGGGAGAGGAAGAGATTATATTTAATGTACTTTCAATTCTCCACGACACAAGTCTAGCTAACTGGCATATACACCCTCTACTATATTAAGTCTTATTGCAGTTCATCACTTCGTTTACATATTAAATCAACAGTTATTCTTTCTCTCCTCCCCACCCATGTTTCTTAATTAGAAAGTTAAAAAAATCATTTGAATGGAGCCAGAATATTACACCAAACAATGTTTCATTTGCCTTTGGGAACTAAGCAACATGTAAACTAAAGATGATGGAAGAGCTCAGCACATAAACCTCCAGTTAACCGCAATCAGATATTTTGTGGTTTGTGCTGTTTCCGTAATTCATTTACATCACTTCATAAGCAGATCTCTGATACTGGCTTGGAACAAACATCAACCAAACTCATGTGAATGTGGAAATTGATAGAATCATAGAATCATAGAATCAAAGAGTTGGAAGAGACCTCATGGGCCATCCAGTCCAACCCCCTGCCAAGAAGCAGGAATATTGCATTCAAATCCATTTTATCAGTTTGTGGAAATGCATATGATTCACATTGGAAAGGAAGGATAAATCTAAACACAATGGCGTACTTGCCTGAAGGCAGTGAGGGCTGGGGCTACATGGTGGGACTATTACTTCTCTTGACTTGGAAACTACAGTGTGGTTAATGCAGGCTAAAATATTATTTGCCTTCTTTGCTGGAGCACCACACTGCTGGGTAATGCCCAACTCATGACCAGCAATCACCCCAAGACCCTTTTCACATATATTTCTGATAAACCACCCTATAAATGTACATTTCTTTTTGTATCCTTATGCAAAATTTAGCATTTGTCTTGGTTGAATTTCATTCTATTACTTTCAGGACAATTTTCTAGTTTATCAAGTTCCTTTGAAATTCTGTACCTGTTTTCAATGTGTTAGCTATCCCTCCAGGCACCTTGTAGCTCCCAGACGGTAACTCCTTTAGTCCACACTAAAATCCAAAGCGGAATACCTCTCTCCATTAGGTAGGAAAATACAGCAATTTAATTGGTTTATCAAGATTACTGCTTTACACTGCAGGAGGGGTTATATTAGTATTGCACATAGAAATAGGGATGATTGAAGTTGATAAAGGATCTTCTCAGCACCCTTTCTAAAATGGCAATTGCCAAAGTCATGTCTGAAAAGGCAGGGAAGACCCAAGATATTTTGCTTCTTGAAACATAACTGCAAATACTCTTAACTACTCAAGTCAAGATGCATAGTTTCAAACACAGTGCAATTATTTTGGTATGTGAGGCAGAAAATGCTACATTTATGACTCTCCCAGGCAAAGAAATGCAATTATAACAGGAAATAATTGTTTATTTGTTTCTCTTTCATAATAACAAAAACCTGCTTCCTGGGAAATCGAATTCCTTTTCCTAACAGTAGGACTGGCCCTACAGAACAGTGATATATGACAGTTGGGATTTTTAACATTACGTTTACCCACACCAGCATCTCTGCCAGACAAGATCTTCTCATTTGATCATTCTCAAATTAATGCAACATTTGACGTTATTTGCATGATAAGATGAACACCCCAATTTTAACAGCAGTCTAATTATTGCAGAATTGGGCATGCCTTGAAGGGCAAATATGCATATCTGTAACTACCCTGTGCCAGTCTATTGGAAACCTCAGTTTGGAAACATATTAACTGCATTGAAACATCACTGAAAGCCATAAATATTGTGACAAATGTGAATTTAAGATCCCCCAGACCCATGTGTTTCCTCCCTCTCCCCTGGCACAACAAGAAGAAAGAATTTGGAAGCTTTCATTTTTATTTTTAATTAACTACAGCTCATTGTGTCACCAAGCTTGACAAACTGTGGCTTTATATCAGTTGTGGTTTGCTTTGCTTTAAAAAGCCATATGTGAGATATAACTTGAAATGCCTTGCTTAGAAGACTTTGTACAGTTTAAAGGACTGTTAGCTATAACGGGCCTTCCAAGTGTTGTTGGACCTGCATTCCCATAATCCCTTACTATGCTGGCTAGAACTTCTGGTTGTTGAAACCCAAAATATCTGGAGAGCCAAATATTCCCAGTCCCATTTAAGGTCTGCACACAAAAATAGGGAGAGAGTGGGTTTGTTCCTGGCTCAGTATTCAGTCACAGGGATTGTCCCATGTGATTGTTGATCTCTAAATCCAATTCATATCAGTCTTCAGGAGCACAGATGCCTACACCCTATATTACCATAAACCCAGGGCAATCATGCAAGGATGAACTCCTCTGGAGTTTCAGCTGCCAGTTCTAAAAACAACACCCCATATTTGCAGCTAGTGTTCTTTTGGTTTTCACTCTATTGTTTCAGGTGACGGGCTGGGTTGTGGAGGGCACATGTAGCATTCACCATAGCTGTAAAAGAATAAAATGTGCAATGAGTGATTCTCACAACAACTCATGTGTTTTAAAGAGAGCTAATTTTGGAAATGAAATATTTCTTATTGCAGAAGTAAATAGCTAAAACTTTAGTTTCTTACCTACGTTCACAGGAACTCCTGAAGAGATTCTGTTTGAGAAAGTAGTAGGGAAGGATGGGGATACAGAAGAAAAGGAAATAAAATAAAGAGATTATGAGTGCTATGGCAGTGCTTTTTAAAAATGGTATTGAATTCAAAGAAGGAATGGTAACAGGCAAAATAGAACAAAACAAAATCACAAGCAACAATAAAACCTATAGTAAACAAACAAAAGCATAAACATGTTAAATTGACTTCCACTTTATACCTATTAAAAGTATATGACTCTATATTGTGAATCCTCCCTTTAGCCTAGATAAAAATGCTTAAACTTATCATCACCAGATTATTCCCTATTCTACCACCACTATAAATGTCAACTACACAGGAATCAATTCATTCTCAAATCAGTCGACAAAACAAAAGATATTAACCATGCCCCTACTTGATCCTTATAATCCAGCCAAGTGACTCAACTTTTACTCCTCAAACCCTATTACCATTAAATTACATTCTGTTCTTTTTGAACATTCTGCAAACGAATTCTAATCTCACACTCTCTCAAACAAAAAAAATCTCCAGTCTGTTTTAAATAAATATGTCCATTTATCGGTTTCTGCTACTTTATCTTCTTCCAGAGAAATGTGTTTAGCTGCAGAATAAAAATTAAGGTCTTTATTCAAGAGATTGATTTCACAAGTACAACTAATATTCAAAACTGGGACACAAATCAGTTATTCAACTATTGTAAAAGTAACTATGTTTCCTGTTAAAATGGCTGCCTGGGTTATATATGTATATTTTTCTTGATGATAGACAGTAGTTAAATGTATGCAGAGGTATTAGGTAGGTAGGCCCTAGGTAATTTTCAACGGTAAGCAAACACTATTTTGGCGCCCCCGCCCCCCCCCAACCAATCATTGATATATATTTTCTGTTTGTCATGGGAGTTCTGTGTGCCATATTTGGTTCAATTCCATCATTGGTGGAGTCCAGAATGCTCTTTGATTTTAGGTGAACTATACATCCCAGTAACTACAACTCGCATATGTCAAGGTCTATTTTCCCCCAAGAGCGCCTCAAGAGCGCCCCTGGGCAAAATCAACTATACTGCAAATGCTTACTTTGCGTAATGGTTGAGCCACCCCTGAATGTATGTGAATGTTATTTCTCTTCTCTAGAAATAATAATAATAATAATAATAATAATAATAATAATAAGTTGGTCCCAGTGGTCATTGGCGCATTGGGTGCCATGCCAAAAGATCTCAACCGGCATTTGGAAACAATAAACATTGACAAAATCACGATCTGTCAACTGCAAAAGGCCACGATACTTGGATCTTCTCGCATCATTCAAAAATACATCACACAGTCCTAGATGCTTGGGAAGTGTTCGACTTGTGATTTTGTGATACGAAATCCAGCATATAGATCTTGTTTGCTGTGACATACTGTGCTTTTGTGTCACTAAAATAATAATAATAATAATAATAATAATAATAATAATAATAATAACTTTATTTTTATACCCCACCACCATCAACCCAAGGGGACTCGAGGCGGCTTATAAGGGAAAGCGCAAAATACAGAATAAAAACAAAGCACAATAAAACAATCAATTAAAAACATAAAACAATTACAACATCATCATAAAATAATCATATGACTGGGATAAAGTCAACAAGAAGTTTGATCCTTCCTCTCTCTTTTTAAGATGCTGTATGGTACTCTCACCTTTGCTCCTCTCCTTCCAGCAGTGTTTTGTATGTTGCAATCTCAATATCAAGGGCTAGTTTGGTATTCATGAGATCCTGATAATCCCGCACAAGAGCGACCAATCTGTCTTTGGAGGTCTGCACACGATTCTGAAGATCCTTGTATTTAGATTCAGCATCTTGCAGAGCATGGTCTCCAAGTTCTTTAGTTTCCCTGAGGGCTGCATGCAAAGAAGCAACCTGCAAAACATGGGAAGAGAGTCATACTACATGGCAAATTTAATGTCACATTTCATACTTTCCTACATTAGCAGTTATTCCGGATAATCATAGAATTCTTTGGAATGCTATAATACATTCCCAGAGCTTAGAACAATAGGTCATCCTAATTAAGTTCAGTAGGTTCCTCAAAGAAAACATTACTATTCAAAACAAGCTTTTATGAACAGTAGCTTTTGTCCCCACAAGTTGATTTCTACTGTCCCCTGAATGTATTTCAGTAAACACTTGGATCAAGAAAAGGCACAGTTCATCAAAGGGACAAAAATAACAAAGTAAAATGACTACTCTTACAAAATGGCAAAATCAAGATTTCTTTTTGGAAGGATATAGACATATATATTCAAACTATGGGAGAAGGATACATGAGAAGCTGTGGTATTGTTAGAGAATCTGTTGATTCTTCATGTTTTCTCCCACTTCAGGTTATTTGATTTCATTTTGCACATCCACTTCTCATATTGACATACTATATCCTTGCCTACTTTGCATTGAATTACTTCTTCACCCCTGACCAGTGATGCTTGACATCAGCACAACATCACAAGCAGAAGAAGTAGATCCAGAAGAAGTAGTTCTGACTCAAAGAATCATAGGATTATAGAATAATACAGTGAAAGAGACCACATGGGTCATCTAGTTCAATCCCCTGCCATGCAGGAAAATCACATTCAAAGTCCCCACAACAGATGGCCATCCAGCCTCTCTTTAAAAGGTTCTGAGAGAGGGGCTTCCACCATACTCTGAGCAGAGTTCCACTGCTCACATCTGCAAACATAAGAATTTTCCTACCTTCTGCTTCTCAGTTCCTACTTGGCATCTCATTATCTGGACATAGCGATTTAGCTCAGCAATGTCAGCGTTGTTTTGTCTCAGCTTCTCATAGAATTGACTTCGTTTGCTCTGGAGATCCTCCATCTACAAAAGACAAAATAAAATCAAATGGGAAGAGGTGAAGAGAAACACCAGAATTCTAAAAACAACTTTGAATTTCTTTTGGGAAGGGAGGCTACAACTTCCAGAATCCTCTGGCCAACATGACCTTCTCACTGGATTATTCTGACACAGTATGGACTCTTCTTAAATCTAGATTTTGCATGGCTACCTTGAGAGTCCTTTTCACTAGCTGAGTTCATCAATCATCTCAGAGTTTCTGTGAACAAAAATGTATTGTTTGATATGAAGGTGGCCTCCTGGGTTACATATGGAGCTGAAGCAAGTGGGGAATCAGATGAAATTACACTTAGATTCCCCATGGTGTTTTTCTGTGATGTTGCCTTTTCCAGGAGTAAAATGTCTGCCCTATGAAATGAAGACTGTTTAAAAAATCTATTTTTTTAAGCTTTAACATATGGAGGAGTGTAGAATGCTTCAGAAATGCCTTCTAGACTTACAAAAAGTGATAAACACAGATGCATTTGGTGAAAAGATTGGTCACAATCAAGAGTATTAACAGGAAAACAACTTGTTAAAGACCTTGCAGTAAAATAAACATGTTTATCACTCTGAATTCCCCTTAGCTCATCTGACCATAAAGCCAAGCAAAGCTAGATTTGGTTAATGTTTGTATGGGAAACCATCAAATAATAACAGAGACCTTCAGACAGACTTGTTAAAATTCTTTAAAAATCTGGGAGATGCATACAGAGTTCACAAAACTGAGCTAGATGATCCAATGGTGTGCCCCTAAGTAACACACATCAAGATTATTGCCCAATTCGCTTCTTATTAGTTAACCAAAATGACAGAGTCTACACCATAGTTGACAACAGCATGAGTACTGGGAGAGACATTTCCCCCCAAGTCTCAGTTTGTCATCCCACTCCCAATAGCACACTAAAACAAAAATATACTGCTATCATGAATGGCTGAGTTAAACACTCAGGAATTTACACCATGGAAATATGAGCTGCTTTCACAGAAGTAGATATCAGAACCACCACACCCAGTAGCCATTTTAAATCAGCAGACAACTGTTACAGCATTATATTATAATCATTTTGATACAAAGATAATAATAATAATAATAATAATAATAATAATAATAATAATAATGAGAGACCATTCTGGTTTAATGAGAAATCTAAGAAGAGATGATATACAAGGATAAAAAAATGAATAGTGAAGTCTCCACAGGACTGGAAGATTTGGGAGTTTTAATATAGAGCATACCATGTTGAGGAAGAGTGTGGTAGGACCTGGTTTACTATATTTCCATTAGCTAACTCTCTTTTGGCACTCTGGAGTATCAGAGCTGTAGATTTCCTAATTACCACAAGCTATTTCAGGTCCCTCTTTCATACCTGGTTCCAATAAAAGAGGTTAGCTTCTCCCTTGCTTTTTTGAACAATGCCCTGATACCAGCCTTCAATTTCCTGGATGAGACTGTCCATATCCAGGCACCTGCTGTTATCCATATTGACCACCACAGATGTATTGTTTAATTGACTTTCCAAAATAGCGCGTTCCTGTTGGTGACAAAGAACCTGTGTGAGACCTTAACCCTCCACAACAGAAATAAAACCAGCAGCCTGTATCGAGAGGGAGAACAACACAATTCACATAGTTTATATTGTGAGAAATACCACCAGGTTTTGCAGCTTTAATGAGCTTTTTGAATGATGTAAAAAAGAACAGCTGGTTTGGATTCTTTAGTACTGTGTGCAGCATATCTACGTATATAGACATGCTTCTCTGGCAGAGATGTTTATTCAAATCACAACAGGGAGGTGTTTTTCTTTTCTTTTCTTTTCTTTTCTTTTCTTTTCTTTTCTTTTCTTTTTTTGACGACACCTTCCAGAATCACTTTTTCTGGCCAAATTGGCCTGGTTCTGGGTGCTGTAACTTTTCCAAGCTAAAAATTAGAGCCCACACAAATGCATACTTACTGATTCTTCCTGTCACAACTAGTTTTTTATCATCTCCCTTTTCATTTAGCAGCATCTTCCCTATGCAGAAGAGATGAAGGACAAGGAACTTTTTGCTATTTTCCTTCATTGTGATATTCTAGATCCTTCTCTATCTAAAGGTAGCCATTGGTGGCTTCCACATTAGTTTAGGTTTTAGTCCTCATTTTAAAGCAGCTATCCAAGGAGGTGACTCCTTTTTCTGCAGTACCTTCAGCACCTTAGACAGTTATTTTAAACTTTGGGAGGAAGCCTGGAGAGAATTCAGCACCCTGGTGACAAGGAAGCAATTTAGTCACCCTGATACTACTGTGAAATGAATACAAAACATAAACTTCAAATTGCTTAGAACACAATGCTTATGGAGTCAATAAAACTCCTATCATAGCCTGAGAGATTAGTTGGTGACTGCAGCTGAGTTATAGGGCACATGCTTTGCATACAGAAGGTCACAGGTTTAATATTGTGGTATTCAGATATCTCCATATGAAGACGAGGGAACGTCCCTTTTTACAGATTGGCCAGTCAATGTAGGCCAATTGGGGGCACCTGCCTCAGATAGGAGATGCAGGAAATGGCAGTAAAGTGCCAATAAGCAAATTTCTGTGTGTCATGAAGCCTAGTTCCATCTGCTGAACTAATCGTTTCTTGTGTGGTAGAAAATGTTGACCTTTTGCTACCTGACAAATCAACTGATCACTTCAGTAAGACTGCTGTTCCTGATCTGCCAAAATTACACAGGTAAAATGTCTGCATAGAAGAGTAAGAGATATGTCTAATGTTGCAACTAAAGGAGACAGACCTTTGCAAAGAAGTTTGTCAAGAAAGCTATGTTTTCTTCCAGCACTTCTTTCTTCTGTTCCAGTTCCTTCTGCTTTTTAAATATGCCATCAACATCCTGAAGAACAAACATGGAATGAAATCATTATATAATTTCAAAGGAAGGGATTAGAAAGAAGGATCTAACTACAAATAATCTTTGGGTGTGGGTGGGGACAACTAAAAAGAAATGATACATTTTCATATGGAACATGATTCCGATTTTTCAGAAGGCTATGTGATAATTTTTCCTTCTACCCAGGCATTTCTCATATTCTTAATACTTTTTAAATAGTAGCCCTGTTTGCCCACTGGGACTCTTCTCTATGTTGTATGCAAGTACAACTATGTTCCAATTGATACCATCAAATATGGAATTTGGAAATGGAAAGTGTGCATATGTGTGTAGAAGATTATGTAAATGTAAACACAGAAGATCCCATGTTAGTCTTTCATGTCTACCATCATGAATTATATGCCAAAATATCTTGCAGAATCTTTGAGGCTGATGCAGTGCACATCTAGGACCATTCATTTTGGGGATGAATTGATCCCGTGACATTCATATAATGTATGGTGTCCATTCACATTATCACAGGGAAGGCCACCTAATACAAATTTCTCCCATGTTAAAAAAAGTTGTGGACTATTCTGGAGCTTTAGGGAAGCTCTGGAGCTAGTCTGCATTTTGTGCTGCTTTCTATTCAGAATGCACCTGAAGCTGTTTACACCACCATCTCAATTTCCTCAGGCTTGGGCAGCCTAGGGACAAGGGATGAAACCTATTCTGCCCCATTGTTCTGGTGCCCACTGGGTATGAAAAGGGTGGTGTTCCTTTCTCACTTCCTGTAATATTGCTAGATAATGTGGGGAGACAACAGGAAATGGGAAGGACAAAATAAGAGAGCATTTCCTGCTTTCCTCCCTTCTATCTCTTTCATTGCTTTATTGCTTGAGCTATCACCACTACAGTGCCATGCAGTGACTGGGCCCTGCAAAACTCAGAATGATGGGAACAAGATAAGTGTGGGTGTCTAGCAGTGCTGAACATGATTCAGTGCTACTAGACTGTGTGTGGATATCATCTAACCACTGGTATGCTCAGAAATGTGAAATATGGACACCCACCAGCCTCTAAGCTGGCTCAGCAGGGACCACAGCAATAATAATAATAATAATAATAATAATAATAATAATAATAATACTTTATTTATACCCCGCTACCATCTCCCAAGGGACTCGGTGCGGCTTACATGAGGCCGAGCCCACAAAACATCAATAATAAAAGCAATAACAACAAATAATACAAAACAAAATAAAACTCATAACAAAAAATAGGCAATAAACATTAACCGTAACACAACAACATTTAAAAACCTATGGCTGGGCCAAGGTTGATTTGGAGTACCTCACTCTAGATCACAATCACTGTGTAGATGCATGACCCAGAGTAAGTGTTTCCAGAGGAAGATTCAAATCTTGTTGTAAGATTTGTACCTTCTCCTGTGTTTTTTTTTAACCCAGGGTGCAGTCATATTAAACAGCTTACCTGGGTTAAGCTCACATCATTTAATGGATTCACATAGGCTGATGCGGCCCTCACACTGCAATAAATGGCAGTGTGGAACCACCCTGAATCTACAAAAGATTGTTCTATAAGCTTCTTTCTCTTAGTCTCAGATTTCTTTATATGGTGAAGAGGACTAACATGACTATGGGCCTCATCATAAAGGACAGGTGAACCACCACATGGGAAAAGTGTTGTTCTCTTGGTGAAACCCCATGCTGGCCCCATTGGAGCCAGCACAAGATGGGAAACCTCCCATATTGGGGGGAAAGTGTCCAGCAATACTTTCACCCCAGTTGGAGGCAGGGCCTCCAGCAGAACTCACAGAACTCATGTGTGATGTCCCATGTAGGGCTCCATCCATTAGATGGAGTGAAAGTGCCCTAGGACACTAAATTTACCCCATCCAATGAGGTCAATAGTCTTTGAATACTCATAAACCATGTAAGTGTAAACCTTTTCAAATCTTTACTTTAGGTGATTATGATCATGATGGTATACTCCTCCTGGGTCACTCACCTGCTTTAGTACAATAAACTCATTCTCTGCATTTGTTCGTCTCTTGACTTCTTCTTCATACCTTGAAAGGGGAGAGGGAGAATATGATAGTGGTAGGGAAAAAAGGGAGTTTGTCAGCACATAGTTCAAGCCTGGAGTGTACACTAGATTAAAATAAGCTTTCGCCTATAATCCTGCTTTTGAGGATTGGAAGGGATAAATTCTGAATTTTGATGAATTATTCACAAGCAATCTGAAACAAAATTGTATTCATTGTTACATATCAAATTTATTAGGTGCAAGTATTCCCACTACAGAGAGAGCCATGCCATAACTGCTTGCACTACAAACATGGTTGAATTCACAGGGATTCATAACCAGATTTTAAGTGTTAAATACTAAAAGTATTTCATGAAGAGGTAAATTCCAGCTTCTCCCACATAAACAAAAATCTTTAAGTCTTTATTTCCCAAATATGAAGAACTCAGGAAAGTTAGACAAATTTGGCTCAACAATTAATTGAATCAAGCTTCCAAACTATTCTTGCCAAAAGTGTGACATGCAACCACCATACTATGTGACAGCGAATGGTAGTTACATGTCACACTGAACTGGAAGGCGAACAGGCAAACAAACTTGCAGTGTGGTGACACCATATTATTTATGTGTTTCATGCCCCTAGATGTGATGCCTGAGAATATAAGAAGAGATTCCAAGCTACTGATTTCAGCCATACTTTCCGTTGCCCTCCATTCTTAAAACAGAGTGCATTTAAGTGTTAGCATTAGTTCATTTTCAGCAGGTTCCTTACTTGCATCGATTTGCCTCAATTAGATCCAACATGGTCTTGTGTTCCTGTTGTAGTTGGTTCTTCTCACACAATAAATTGTCAAGTTTTCGTCTCATACTAGTGATGTAATTTTCACATAGTGGGGAAAGGTCTTTCTTAACTGCTGGGTTTTGAGATTTCAGCAGCTCCCACTTGGTGGCCAAGGCTTGGTTCCTTTCTTCCAAATATCTGACCTGAAATCCAGAAAGAAAGAAGTAACTGGATTTTGCTACAAAGCAGTTCAGATTTTCAAATGTGAATATACATAGCTGGCACTGCTCAGGGCTCATAAGATACATTTAGGCAAGTGTGGAAAAATCTTTGGCCCTCAAGAAGATTGACCCACATGTCCCATCAGATCTATCCAGAATGCCCTAATGTAAATGCATTATGGTTGTTGTAGTACAAAAAAATTCCCCAATTAGAATCAGGTGCAAAGAAAAGACTTATTGACGACTCTGAACCTAACCTATTACAGACATTTCTTGGTCAAATTTGCTCAGAGGGATTTTGCCTTTGCCTTGCTTTGAGATTAAGAGAAAGGGTGACTAGCCCAAGATTAACCAGTTGATTTCCACAGTTGAATGGGGAATCAAATCCCACATTGTGCAGACTCTCAGATTTAATAATACACCAACTGGAACAATAGCTGAATTGTAAGTAAGCACAAAAAATATTATTGATTTAATGGATCTCCTCTGTTTGGGGCTAACAATTGGTTTTAGACTAGTGCCTCTGTAAACATGCTAAATCCAGGAAATTGTTAACAATATCTGAACTAGACTTTGCAAATAAATACTTTCATACACATGCCTACACTTATACCTCCGGCTCCGGCATTACTTGATTTCAGCAGTTCCACTTGAGAGGGAAAACTAGCTTTTGACTGTCTATTGTTGCAGTTTCTACTAAAATCATCTGGAGATTTACTAATTAATACCTATCATTCATTTTGTGCCCAGGTCATGAGTAGTCAGAATGTAATGACTACATGGATTGCCAAACCAAGATCACTTTGCAAGAAATGTTACATAAAAAAATCAATCTCTGCCAGAGTTTAGAAATGTCGGTCCTTGGATATCAAACCCAAAAATCCATTTTGGGCCTGAATTTGTTTACTATATCCATATTTCCCGGAAGCTCCCTGCTTTCTGTTCCTGAGCTCCTTCTACTGGAACATGACTGAAATTTGGCTATACCTTAATACTTGGATTTTCTATAAAATTCTTGTTTAGATAGCTCTTTATGGATGTAGGTTACTGGGTATAAAATTAACTGCCAGTGTTAATAGATCTATTTACATAGTTGTTTGCTTGGAGCATGTATGCATTCATACATGAAAACAGACCTGACAACCACTAGAAAAGTCTTGTTCACATGAAGAACATTTCCATTTCCCTGTAGGAGACCTGGCATATAAAAAATCACATTCATGAAGCATTTGGCACACATATACACTAGAAAAATATATAGTTTTTTCCCTTTGATGATCAAACAGGTCTGTCAGTTACACTCAAACTTTGTTATAGAATTAATTTCAGTGGTGTTTGGCATTAAAAGCCAAGTCAGTTGATATGAAATCCTGCAATCAATTTTTTAAATCCATGTTTCTTTTGTCCTGGAGTATTTTGTAATAATTTATGACATAAGTGGAAATAGTTTATTCCAATCCAAAGTGAATCTCTTTTAAATTTCAAAACATATTAATCTTTCAGCCCCCATCTGTACTGATCATTTCACAATTTTAAATTGCAGCGGTCAGACAAAAAACTTGAACAAAAGAGCGCAATTGAGAGCCCTTCATGTGTACCAGTGATCTATGGCTTGTGTCATTATCACCATCCAGGCCTCAAACTGGTTTCAGGATTTCCTTTGTAATCATCTGCACAGAAAAACCACTTTCTTCAATTCTGAGTTGAAACTGCAATCAATATGTATTATGTAGATGGGGCCTCAGTGAAAAAGTTCTTTTGCACTATAGCACTAAAACACCAAGATATGTATCAGGAGAAATTTTTCCATTCAAAAATTTGAACCATCTCAACAACATCTAGGGACTGACCTTGGCCTTTCATAAAATTTTGTGGACTCCTCAATTGTTAATTAGAAGCTTTAAACCCAGTGTGTGTATCAGAGCTTGGGAAAATTACCCTTTTGCATTATAGCTTCCAGAACCCTAAACCATAGCCAGTGGCCATATTGGGTAGGAAACTTTGGGACTTCTCTCATCTGTAGTGTAAATATCTATACACCTACCGTCCCCTCCCTCCTTACTCACATACTATTGAATTTTTTCCACCTACTTTCCAGAGCTGCTCTTAGATATGGAAAGCTACTTTCAAGGCCCCAAAAATTTGCCTCCCTGTAGCTTCATTCATAAAAAGATGGTTATCCTGAGTGTCTGTTCCCAACACAGAAATCCAGACCCAGTGGTCCAGCGCAACATGCAGTTTGGTTCTGTGTTATGAAGAAGGCATGGCAAATGTAGCCCCACAAGCAGAATGCTCTTAACAGTATCATCACCAAATGCAATGCTTTTGAACAGTCATTTCACACAACCAGTCACCATGTACACAATAATCAAATATTGGGATCAAATGTTGATCCAAGTCCACAAATGTTGATCAAAATTCATAGATTCAAACTGATGTTCAGAAGTGTCAGGAACCAAAAAAATCCATTGCAGATCAAATTTTGTATGTTCTGTCCATCTGAATATTCAGTTCCTTCAATATGAGATCAACAGGAAATGAAAAAACACACTCATCTCACCTTGTCAATGAAGCAAGCAAACTGATTGTTGAGGTCTTTGATTTGTTCCTTCTCATCTGCTTTAACCTGATGGTCATGCGGATCAACCCCAAGATAGAGAGGTTCTAAGAGCTGCTTGTTAATGTAAATCTCACGGATTCCTCCACCCCGGTATCTGCCATTGGAAATCCTATGTGCTTGGCCAAAGTTATGGAAACTTCTGCTGCTGTTACCTTCTCCAGACCTGCCAGTGGCCACGTAAGGTTGACATACAGGTGGCTTGTAGGTAACTCCAGTGGAGGAGGCAGAAGAAAAACCTCTCCTTCTGTGAGAGCAATTGTGAGGCTGCTCTTGGTCCATCATAACTTAGTCAAACAACAAAATGAAACACAGAAGAGCAGCAGAAAGACCTTCTTTGATGTGATACATGGAACAGCTGCTTATATATAGAAGAGGAGGCAGGATGATAGTCTAAAATTTGCAGTGTTGATTTAGGATATTACTGGGCTTGGCTTGCCTAGCAGCAAGACATTGACTTCCACGGGGTGAAAAAGGAAGTAAATAGCACTAGACAAGACCTGGAGGCCACAAGGAACCTTCTAAGTGCACAGTTTGCAAAATTCAGTCAGAAAGCAGTCATTTTCTCAACTGATTGGCTTCCCTTTAGTGAGCAGTAGTGTGCTATATGTGACATTTTTTCTTGAGGGCAAAAGCATGAAAAGAGTTTAAAATATTTCCTCACTCCTAAATTGGTGTGGCATGCCAGTTAGCACATCACCCTGGCCAATATTGCACTCAGAAATTTTCCCCTTCACTATTAAAGTCAGTATGACACACAAACACACACACCAGTATCTGTGAGATAAGTAGCTGTGGTTTTCTTTATCCAAGACTGAAAAAATATGTTGACGCTAAGCATTTTCTAGGTAATCTACTATAGCTCTATGGTAGTGTGGGGTCAGAGGTCCTTCATTTAAACATAGTTCACTATTTCCTGTGTTTTTTCATATGTGGACTAAGTCTGGGAATGTATCCTCCACAGATACGAAAGGCAATCCTGCGTGCAACAATCTCCAACTTTACTCTTCTGCTCTCCACTGGACTGGCTACTTTGCATACCCAGTTCTCAAAATGCTGCTGCCAACATTTTCAGGTTTGAGGCATTCCGTGGCATCATAAAGTCTAAAAAATGTATTTGAACATAACTATAGCTCACTTTAACAGAGTACATATGATTTCATTATATAATTTAAGACATTTTATGATGGTTAGTGATTTCACAACAACCTGTCCAGTCAAAAACAAGATTAATTTGTCTTTTTAAGAATGCCTTGAGCTACCAAAAAACAGAGATTGTGTTGACTGCTTGATAAAGAATGGCAACGTATGATAAGGAGCAGTAGGTAGTGGAGCAGGGTTTGGGGGGGGGGGGAGATTAAATCAGACACTTGTAAATGAAGGAACTCTCTGTGACTGAAGCCCTGTAAATACCAACGTTTAAGAAAGACAGTAACTCCTGTGATAATTACTATAATAGCATGTTACACTGAAATTTTGTACTTTCGGAATATTAAACAAATCTGACCTGATGTTTACAATGCCCCTTTAAAGTGCTTTCTAACCAAGTATCCATCATTTACTCTTTGTGGGTGGGATCCATATGTTAATTAAAATGCTGGAAGGGAAAAGGACTTGCTTCACACAAAATAGAGGTTTGTGCCAAAGGCTTGGCCATATCCCATCCGCTTCTGAGGTTTCCCTCCCTTTTGCCTCCAGTGCATCCTAAGTACAATTCTGTGCTCTAGGCAAAGGCAAGCCTGGTCTGTCCTCCGAGGGTGACTGCAGCCAGTTGTTGGTTCCTCCTTGAAGAATGTGTGAATACAACATACACTTTTGTAAACATGTATTTATCACAGCATCACTTTAGTTTTTCTAGATGCCCTCTTGAAATTTAGGTGCATACCTAAACAGGTGTTTTATAGAGTGGGTCTTTCAGCTTCTGACTAAACAGTACATTGTTAGTTTGATCTTGCTGTTATGTCTGGTTTAAAAGAAATGCCTGCCTTATAAAGGGAGAATATGACCTACTTCTCAGGGTAGTTGGGAGGAAAAGGGAGGAGGAGGAAGAGGAGCGAAGCTATTAGGCATGTGCAAAAGAATTGGAAAGCATCGTATGTCAGAGCAGTTTTGTATGATTATGACGCAATATCTGACACACATGTGTGGTCCGCACCAAAACTTAAGAAATCAAAACTTACCCCATACTTTTTCATTTTAGTTTTCTAAATCTCAGAAGGCTCCCAAAGTCAGTTTCATATTCAGTGCAAGGAAGCAAAGCTCAAAAAACAAAGCCAAAAAGGCTGCCTTAGTGCTTGCCATGTCTTTCCTCTGTTAATTAATGGCCTCTTGCCATTAGGAGAGGGGGAACAGAGGGAGCAATGTGTTCTGGGAGCATCACAGAACTCTGGGAAAAGTTTGGGAAGGGAGGAGGCCAATGCCAGAGAATTCAAAAGGCCCTGCCCTAAGCCACATTTCCTTGAATGCAGTGCACTGCTCAGCAACTCCGGTTGCCCCTCCATCGCCAACCAGAGTTTCAATAGATTATGTTTTTTGGTTCCTGGGTTATAAATGTCATTTCCTAATTGGTTCTATCATAGAAACATAGCAGAAGTTTGTCTTTGCATGAGGAACATCGTGTCATAGCACGTTTTGCTGTAGTCTCAATTTAACATTGTTATCCACCCATTTATCAAAGATTTTGCCACAAAAACAAGTTTGTGGAGTAGAACTGCTACTTGCAAAGTAAGAATTACACAATTAAACAGGAAATAATACTTTCAAACTAGGAACATATTTTCTTTATTATTAAAAAAATGTTTTTATAAAAATTTTGAAAGTTCCCCAAATTGACACGTTCTGAAATTTGGTGGGCTAAGAGTGGTAAATGTGTCCTACCATTGTAGCTAGTTTCACACCAATAGCTGTAAACCCCATGAAGTTTCCCCAATTATAGTAATTGTGCTCAATTAATATAACAAAATAGTAATGAAATTTCCTTACTCTCGTTATAGTAATGAATTTTTCACTAACTGTACTTTAGAAACACTTTAGGAATGAAATGCCAGCACCCCCCCCCCCCCAGTTTTGACTTTTGAGCCATTTTTAATAGATCACACATTCCTAGAAGCCATGTATTCAGCCTTTAGCTCCCTGGTAAAAGGGAGAATAGCATCATAACTAATAAATGAAAGATTTATTAAGAACTAATTGCTGTGCTTACAGAGTATTCATTGTAAAAGAAAAGGCCTTTTCACCTCTGATCCTTTTAGGCCAGGGATTTTATGCTTTCTGTGTGCAGGAGAACATATAAAAATTATGTGACTTGGTATCGGAGCACAAGCTCTGCATCAGAATGTGCCAGGTAAAATGTGTGGGCTGAAATCCAGTTGCTAGCACTAACTAGAATGGAACTACTAACATCAATAGGATTTACATATGTGTTGATTTACTATTCAAGAATTGATTCCATAGGTTGTTCAATTTGTTTGAAGCCCTAGCATCTACAGGTAGGACTGGAAAAGACTCCTCTTTGGAAAGCGTCAAAGAATTCAATATTGCTGAGTTAAGGGCTTTCTCATACAAAACTGATGAATCAAAATTACAGCAGAATAATAGTGTCTGTAGCCAATATTTACCACATGATTGGAAGACTCCTCTCTGAAAACTGTCAAAGAATGCAATATTGCTGAGTTAAGGGCTTTCTAATACAAAACTGATGAATCACACTTACAACAGAATAATAGCATGTGTAACCAATACTTAACACATGACCTTGTGTCTCTCCCACTGCTGCTTTGCATTTAAATCATTGGAGGAGCACACCTCTTCATCGATGTGAAAATTCACCCAAACTCCCCAAGGTTATGGCTGGACAGAAGGAGACTAATGGGCACCCTGGGAGGAGTAATTTATTACCTCCGCTGCTACCTGTCACTTTCCCTTCTTTTTCACCCCCTATGCCTCTGGTGCATTGGTGTGCATCTCTCCTGAAAATTGGGATGTAAGGGGGGAATTCTGCAAAGCAGTTTGAATGCTTCTAAAACATGGCCATACAGCCTAAAAAACTCACAGCAACCCAGTTTGAAGACAGGTAAGGTGCAATCACCTTGCTTGTCTCAAACTGGTTCTAGACTATCAATCTGATCACCCTGTAGCAAAACTGGCTATTATCTGCATGTCTGCTGATGTCATACCAGGGCTCTCACATTGCCATCAATGAGGGATAGAGGGACCTATCCTTGATGATCATGTTAATACCTGTTCTGCCATCAGCAGATGCAACCACAGCAGCCAGCCAAAAGTAAAAGTGACACCACTGAAGACAAGGTTTCCCCTTTCCCTGTGCTGATAAGTGCAGGAAAAGGGTGATGATGTGGCGTCCCTCTGAACAGGAGATGGGGCAGTCCATCTGTCTGGGCAGCTGTGAAGCCTGCAGATAATCTGGTATTTCCTGAAAACTCTCCTATTTTTGAGAAAAGCAGAGTAAAGTTGAGTTTAGGCCTGAAAACCCAAGATATTCATAGGAAGTAATGAAATATCATGGAGACAGCTGACACTGGATTCAAAATTAATCCACACTGTCTTGTTTATGCGGACTTGCCCATAGTTTGTGACACAGGCTTCGAATCTTAAGTAGGACAGAGACTGGCACAGTCTATTTGTCCAGACACTGGCTCTGGAATCAGGTACAAATTAAATATATACCAGGAACTTGTAAATATAATATAGGATAGAGAAAATAATTGCTTCAGTTGTTCATTAGTTGCAGTTAGAGGCTGCATACCAAAGTATTAGTCATACTGGGAAAAATGGCATGTTATTTGATCTCCTAAACAAATTCCATTGTAGAGTTTGGGCTTACATTTGCAAGTGACTGAGGTTCCTTGATTCATGATGGGAGTAACAAGGACTGTTCATTTTTCAGTCTAATTCTAGGTCTTCTTTGGTACTATTTAATCAAGAAAATGAGCAATGACCAATCTCAATAAAATAATGAAGAGTAGAATCATCACACTGGCAATGAAGATCTGCCTAATTAAAGCAATTGTATTCTTCATAGTAACCTGTGGATGTGAGAGCTGAACCATAAAGAAGGCTGAGCAAAGGAAAATAGACATTTTGTACTGTGGTGTTGGAGAATTCTGAGAGTGCCTTGGACCACAAGAAGATCAAACCAGTCCATACTCCAGGAAATAATGCCCGTCTGCTCACTGGGAGGAAGGATATTAGAGGCAAAGATGAAGTACTCTGGCCACTTAATGCGAAGACAGGAAAGCTTAGAGTAGATAATGATGCTGGGGAAAATGGAAAGAAAAAGGAAGAGGGGCTGACAGGCATGTAGCCGGGGGGGGGGGGGGGC